CTGTCAAAGAGCAGAACATTTTTATTACTATTTCGTGTTTTTAGTGTTCCGTAACTCATAGGAAAAAAACGGGACCCTTATAGGATCACTTTGTTGTCCGTCCGTCCGTCTGTCAAGACCCTTTTTCTCAAAAAACGCGTGAAGGTATCAAGCTGGAATTTTTTTACTTATTTTCCTTGTTATACAAAAATAAAAAAAATTATTCATTATCAAGTAAGCAACTTTGAGAACTAACAGAATACAGCCTACATTAAGCGAAAACTGTAAATCTTAAAGACCGTGTTTCCTTTCAGGATTTGTAGTGCAGGAACAAAAGTCTGCTATCGCATTGTTTAAAATGCGTACATCTCTATAGTATAACTACCAACTGTTAAATAGAGTAATGATCCAGAGAATGTAAGCACACAACCACAGAGTATTTAAGTAAAGAGATGTTAGAATAATATACGTTTAATAAGCCAAAAGCTTCTGCCATCACTATTGTATCTTCTTGTTAAAATATAACTCTTTTTGATATTTAATACCGAAATAATAAAAGAAAATTATTTATTTTATTAGAAATAGCATTAAAAGTTACAATAGAAATATTTTAATGCTTCGTTCAACAAAATTCCAGACACATAAAATATGTGTATTCACTTTAAAACTTTTATAACTGCAGACACAAAACAAAATTTGAAATGTCCCTGTCAAAAGCTGGATCGAGATTTGATTTTCGTTCTGAAAATTTTATTTTCACTTATCACTTTTATATATATAATTTTTATATTTGTATTAAAGTTATGTACACATTTAAAAGGAAAAATTTAAATACTCGATGCATAAGGATGTTCATTTCTACGCTCTACTCGTCTAAGCCCGTCTTAAGTTTGCATAGCGCCATCTAGCGGAGGCAGATAATGCTTCAATGAAGCATTCTATATTTAACAAAGAATTTCTCTTTTGCAATTGTACTGGAGATTGAAAATTAAATATTAAAAAAGGTTATTTCAAATAGAGAAATATGTTATCCTAATGGAATTACCATTTGGAGCTAGTCTATCACGATCTAGGATAGATTGAAGTTTACTTAAGTCCGAACCCAATAATCGATCTGAATTATTAATGGGTCAGAGTACAAAAATAGATCAATCGGCTAATGGATATTCTGTTATTACTGCGATTTTTATTAGGGTTAATATAAAGTACGCTAAAAAAACTTATAACCAGCTATGGATGGCTGATGGCTTCTAAAAAATGTGGTCTTATGTCGATTAATTAAAAAGCATCACTTAATTATAAAGATCTTTATGATACGTTTCATTCCAGATGCTAATTGCTGTAGATGACCTCTATACAAAATTTGACAGCCCTATTCAGACCGTGTCAGACAAAGGCTTTAGCCTTGCTATTGTTCTGCGATGGACATATTAATACAAAAGCTTATGTAAAATGTACTTATAAAATGTATGTAAATGTATTGTATGTATTACTAGCTGTCGCCCGCGACTCCGTCCGCGCGGAATTCAAAATAAAAAATAAACTTAATAAGTAGTCTATGTGTTCTACCAGACTATGTTCTACATATATGTCAAATTTTTTCGAGATCAGTTGAACCATTCCCGAGATACCTTCAAACAAACATCGATCCATCCATCATTCGCATTTATAATATTAGTAAGGGTAAGATTATTCTGATGTCTACAGAGTTTAAATTAATACATAAACGTCATTCGTAAACGTCGCATAATTTGCGCGTGAATTAAATTTATAATCTTTGAATAGACACAGCTATATATGTTCGTCCTTTTCCCATCGTTTTCTAATTTTGAAATAGAAGCGCTTCATTAGTATTAGTATTACACGTATACACTTTATATACAATATATATAGTAGACATGAACACAAAGCATTCGCTATTTGCTCTGTGAAATCAATAGCCTGTGATATCGGGAGAGCTATTCATGGAAACGACGTTACTTGATCAATACAAATACTCGAAGCTTCTTTATACTCTGTGTATATAAGTACTATGTACTAATAATACATAATATTGAAGCTTGGAGCAACGACATATGGATACGAAGTAGCTTTTATTTTCCGAGCTCTTTGAGTAAATACCGAAGTGCATTCTGTATATTGTGCAATTCGTAAGAAAATAGCTTTGTAAGAACTAATTATATATAAAATACTAGCTGTCAACCGTGACTCCGTTCGCGCAGGATTAAAAAGATACAGTAGTCGATTCTCAAACAATCGCTCAAGATATTTCGGAGGAGTGTGATACTAGAATTTTATATATAAAATGTTGGTGTCTACTGATAAAATTACTATTCAAAATATATTGTATGTTATTTTATAAAGATATATGTTATCTTATTACTTTTTCACAAAAATGAACGAATAGATTTACCGTTTCATCGATTCAAATAGGAATTACTTAAAACGAACTCCACAAATTTACTTTACAAAGAGAAATTGCAATCCTTATCTTAATTAAAAAAAGTGGACGGAAAAATTCAATAACACGAACAGCATTTGAATTAAAATGTTAGTTGCGATTAATTACTTTTCAGTGTAAAGTTATAGCAACAAGGTTAAGTGCAACTCTCTCCGCTCTGCGAACTTTTAATCCAGCAAAGTAGAGTTTGATTAAAGTAATTATTTTTTAATTGTACAAAGTTATGCTTTATTAAATTAAATAAATCCATTTTCATCTAGTGCCTCTTAAACTAAGAGTTTAATGTTTTTTTTTATTGTGAACAACTCAGATTAAGTGTTCTTTTGCCAGTATTGTTTGTAGTCTCGCATAGTATGAAACATCTCAGAAAATTTTTTCTATCACTTCATTAGGGTTCCGTACCTCAAAGGTAAAAGATCTGTCATCGTGGCGATCTTTGGGGGAGGCCTATGTCCAGCAGTGGGCGTCTCATGGCTGAGTAGTAGTAGTAGTAGGTAAAAAACGGAGCCCTTATAGGATGACTTTGTTGTAAGTCCGTCTGTCTGACAAGACCCTTTTTCTCAAAAACGATTGAAGGTATCAAACTGGAATTTATTTTTATTATTCTCTATATTATTCATATAATTTTAGACAACTCTTTTTATATAATATTCATTAATTTGACTTTTTCTTTGTTCTAAACGAATATACTTTATTTTATAATACTATAAACAATACATTGTAGATAGACGGCATAAATAAAGACGCAAAAATTGGGCATAACAAATTGGAAGTCCGTGACCAGAAATAGACCGAGGTAGAAATAGACCGAGGTGGAAAAAGTTGCTGAACCAAGCCAAGGCCCACAAAGGACTGTAAATCTAGAAGGAGAAAAAGAAATTCATAATATACGATAATCTTGCTTTGACTATTTGTTAAATAAATACGCTAACACTACTTCTGATGAGACAAAGCGAAATATCGCGTATAAAATCTAACATATTTTTCTGCTTTTAGCTTATATAATTTAATATTGCGCTGATAATATCGCTTTGAAAATGGACACAAAACACGCCGACGGCAAAATATTTCGGAACAGACATGCTAGAATAATAAAACAAAAAAAAAACCGGACACAGAGGTTTATTCCCATTGGTTGAACTGAATTTATTTCTAGAAGCTTTAAGTAGTATTTGAGTATACTGTGATTACAAAATTCTGGACCATAAATATGTTTTTAACTTCAGGCTTTTCAAAATCGTATTGGGACTTCTGCAAACCAAATTCAATCGAAGAGGCTTAATATGCATTGCTCATTTTAGTCATTTTGTTTTAAATAATCTGAATTAAAAAAAAATCTACTGAAACCCAAAACTTTTATAAATCTTGTCTTATGTTTCTTTAATATTGATTTTATTTATGTTTCATTTGTGCTCCTTTTAAAGACGTACTACGTACTTGGTCCGTCGGCAAGATGTTTTAAATTTCAAAATTCTCTTTTAAACCTTTTAAAATGGAATTAAAATGGATTCCGTTTCAAATAAAAATTACTTTTAATTCAGGCTAAAATTGGCAGGAATTTTCTATATAATGCAGATGATTCATATACCTGCATATTACGTCATACCTGCAACGTTATCTAGACATAGCTTCAAAAACATAAAGAAAATTATTTCGCTTCTTAACACTTTGTGAAATCGTACTGTTTAATGTTCAATATTTGCGATTTACGTAATGATATTTGTTAAACATTCGAATAAAATTAAACGAAAACAAAATCACTTTTATGTTTTTTTTTATAAAACGATACGTGATTCGATTGCAAGTAAATCGCATTAAAATACCGTCCTCCAGTCGATAGTTGCCCTTAACGAGGCAACTATGAGAACTAAGTCACTTTTAATTTAGATACGGTCCCGAACAAAAAGGTTCAGGCCCCACATTTACATATTATGCGCTCTAATATTATTCATAACAAGTAGTTCTGGAAGCTTCTAGAATAATTTCGAACATATACGAGGAATTTTCTTCATTTATGCTATAGTTTTGAAACAAAAATTACAAGAAGGTACCGTTTCAGACCACACGAAAGTGCCGACGGGAAATGAAAATGTACTAAAAAACCAAAAACAACAGCTATGAGTTGTACCGTAAGTATGTGGTACCGTCGTTTTTAAATAAAAGAACTCATTTTCCAACCCTATCATAATATATTTCAACCAACATGCAAAGTAAATAAATAAACGTTCAAACCACTCGACGCTTGTGTCAAAATCATGTGGCAGAGTAAGCGTAAATTCGCACTTTGCCGTCGCATTTTAATTGAAAGGACACGAGTATTACGCAATCTTTACAGAGGTGCTTACGTTGAAAAAAAAAACCGGAACGGTCGAGGTGTTCGCATCTAAAAACTTTTATGGTATCCGGCGCTGTTTTCAGCCGGCCACGCTATTTAACGCGAGCCGTGAAAACATTACCAAACGTTTAATCGATTTTCGACTTAGTGGAGCTCACACGACGACACATCGCCACGGGTCGCCTTCGAGACGCTAGAATCAACCTGCTAAAAGGAGAATCTTACCTGGCTCGCATGCAGCACTTCCAAAAATATGGTAAAAACACTTATAAAAAGCACGGCGCGCGACATAGTTGCGGCCGCGGCGTTCTCTTCCTCGAACCGACTGGTCTCTAGTGACGTTTGCTCAGGACGCCAGAAACCTGCGTACTGGTCGTTCGGTACGACACCGTACGCGTACCTAGCGGAGTATATATCGACCCTCCCGGGAGCGAGAGGGACGGAGGACGGAGTGCGCAGGTTAGAGAGAGAGGAACGAGGGAGGATAGCGCACGCGCGGTGCGGTACAACGCAACACAGGCGAGGACTCCCTCCGCAGCTGAGCGAATCACGTTCGCCACCGCCTTCTCGTCTGGATTTCCCGGTGATGAGCCATCATTTTAGATAACGACGAAAGCTAATATGTTTCTTAATTACTTTATTGTTTCATATGCCGATCTTCCCTCTCAATATTCAGTACTCGTAAGTTAAAAGGTTCGACTCGACAAAATCAATAAACTGGAGGCAGCGAAGCGAACACTTCTTTTAATTAATACGAATCAATATACGATGAAGCCTTTAGTAAATGCTACTAAATAACAATGTGATTAGCTTCTAGAAGTCTTTAGTGTTAAAGACGAGGACGTAGAGATAATTGGCTGAACTAACTGCATGCACATAACGATTCATATTGGTTGTCCAGGGTACGATTCCTAATTTTCAATCAGCGTAGATTAATACATATAAAGATTCTAAGCGGCTTGACGGTCGGTGTGAGGAATATTAGTGACATTCAATTCGTAATTTCCAGAGTGTCATATGGATAATCATTAGGACCTATTGCTGGTTTTATTACGACACGATTTTTACCACTGTGCTGCTCTATCGTTTTGGATTTGTCTGTTATATAGAAATTGACCCAGATAATAACAAAGTTAATGATCACACTTTGAATACCTAAATACATACTTAATTTGCGCGTTCAATAAGCGAACCAGAGGTCGTTCTTTTGTGTGAGAATGAAAGGGGTAACCTTTAATACTGACGTATCCTGCTCATACGTTACAAACAAATTGTTAAAATTAAAATGATATATTCGTTGTACAAGCATTTAACATACGATTTGCTAACGTTTACACAACTGATCGGATATAAAGGCTTCAACATGTTACGTGCTTAATTTGTGAAATTAATTAAATTGAACATAAGTTTGGTTGTCAATATTGTTTAGAATAATGTTTTGGTGTCCTAGTAATAATATTAGATCCACTACACACCTTCAGTTTTAACTTTCAGTTTTATTGTTACCGTGCGTACATACGCATGGTTAATCATATGTTACAGATAATCATAATCATATGTAACAAAAGTTACATACATAGTTGCCTACATAGGCAAACCTTTATCTCTAACTTTTCGACTACTCAGCTGAAACTGTACGTCTGTATCCGACTTTATATATTACATAGGCGCGCTGAAGTCTTTACCGTAAAGAAATAAGCAGATAGAGTCTATTATTTTAAAACTGTCACTAGAAATAAACAAATTGTTCATATTTTATTCGAAAACTTTTAAAAACATAAAGTTTATAAATTGGTCTTAAAAACACACATACTAAAAGAATGTAAAACGTGTCATAACATGTTTAAATTCAAACATAATTCATACGTTTGTGCAAAAATTAACAAGTCATAACATTTATCGGTCGGTTCTTGTGTCCGGATTGTGGTGTCAGGTGTTGATTTAACCATTTATCCTGACTAATGTGAACAATAATCTTGAAATTTAAAAGATAAGAGTAATTGTTATACAATGAAAGTCTCACCATGGTTATTCACTAGCGATATATTATTTCTATGTGGTCGACCACACAACCTAGTTTACGTAACTCCCTTATTTATAATACGAATAGCTTCCAAGCTATGGATATGAGCCAAACAATACATTTTATTGTTGTTTCTACGACTCACTTCGTAAGCTATTACCCAGAATTGTGTTAACATGTTACTTCTTAATAATATTATAAATGCGAAAGTTTAGATGGATGGATAGATTAATATTTGTTTGAAGGTATGTCCGGAACTGCTCAATGGATTTTGATTTGATTTGGCACACATGTAGAACATAGTCTAGAATACATAGGGTACTTATTAAGGTTTTTTGTAATTCCGCGTGACCGGAGTCGTGGGCAACAACTATTATATTACATTAAAACAATACACATATTTTATATTTCAAATATCATACTAAAGGTACACTTAATGTTGGAAAATTAAAAGAAACATGTACAGTCAGTTGCATAAATATGTATTTATAATAACAACTTGTATAGGTCTTCGGTTTCAAAAATGCACATGCATATTCGTAAGTAAAATTTATGGTCGGAAGCGTAAAGATGGATAAGTGCATAAAAATTTTGTAAACCGAAGGCGTATACAAGTTTCTAAAACTTTGTATACATATTTATGATGCTGACTGTACATCTAAATCTAGTCGATGTATACGTAAGTAATATCTATTTATTTTTCATTTATATTATAGAAGTGCTTAAGCATTTATTTTCTTGGTAAATAGTCGGTTACTCCTTAGGACTAATAATATATTTATCCCATATCATTGATGTACGAAAATATATCTTTTTTTGCAATATAAGTAAATAATGTATATGAAGTTTGCAAAAATGATATTTTCAACTCTCTCACATAGAGTGCATTGTTAACACAAGTAATCGGATTTTCGATTTCCTTCGCTACCAAAGCCATTGTCAGATTTCGCTTCAACGACATGTGCGGAGCATTTACTCGTTGATACCTTTTGTACTACAAATAATAAAATGTCCCCCATATAGTAATTACATTTTATTATAATACTAAGCTGGAGCCCACGACTTCTTACGCGCGGGAATAAAAAATAAATAGTAGCCGCTTCTTATACCTAATAAGTCTTATATATAAAATTCTCGTGTCACAATTTTCGTTCCCATACTCCTCCGAAACGACTCGACCGATTCTCATGAAATTTTGTGAGCATATTGAGTAGGTCTGAGAATCGGCCAACATCTATTTTTAATCCCGCGCGGACAGATTCGCGGGCGACAGCTAGTAAGCATATAAAATGTCATAAAAATCGTTCATGCCGTTTCAGAGGAGTATGGGAACGAAAATTGTAACATGAGAACTATATACATAAGATAAACTATTAATAATTTAATAATTACATTGCTTGTACTATTGCAAAGTATCATATTTATTTTTTTTATTATAAAAAAATATATATTTAATTTTTATTTACTCCTCCCTAGTAGGAATGGCGACAGGCAGACGGCCGGCCGTAAAATTTAATCCCAAAACATTAAGGTTTATAAAACCTTATTCTCCGACCCCACTTGACTGGGATAAGACCAGAGAGATGAATATTCTTTTAATAGAAATATTTCAGCAGTGGATTTCATAACAACCCTATACATTATGCGCTTCGCTAATATTTTATTATACTGAGACATCTCAATACAATAAAATATAGCAAATCGCGTTGTCTAGTCAGCAAGCCAAGCGATTGAATCTGCAGTTAGTCTCTAGAATGTTCGAGATATTTGCATACGAGATGACGTCACTGGCCAGACGGTCCGGTATTTAGCCGTGCCGTATTATAAAGAGCTTTGTGCGACCAAACTGATGCACTTGAGCACTCACGATCGATTCCTGTCCCCGGACATGCTCTCGTAATGCCGTCGAAACTAGGACGAGAGAAATATTACATAAACGCTCTGCGTCAGTACCGACCAATTTATATAACATATACTCGTATGCATTTGGTACATACCAGATAGCCTGCATCCTTGGAACTATGTAGCTATTTAAACTTTACATATTAAAACAAAGAGTTATTTTAAAAAAAGAATAAGTAACCCTATGGTACAATATAAAGGGGCATAATTATTGGTTCACATTATACCAGTACAGTTGGCCAGTAGCACTAGCCAGACTCACTAACGCCAGTGTGCGCTGTTATGAGTGCTACTGTCTAACTGTACTGGCATAATGTAAACCAAGCATAAATATCTTGAATTTGCGTGGTAGCTATTAAAATCAGATTTAAGTAGAGTATTATGTGTGGTAAAAGTAATTACAATCATTCATGCTCCTGTCATATCTGACTTCATTACCTTCTTACACATATTTAAGAAAATCCATCAAGAGCTTCTTTATACAGTTTTCTTTTTCCCTTGCAACTTAACTTAAAGATTTGTGTAAAAATGTGCCAAGATGTCTGCCATTATTAGCCATTTCAACTATATCCCTAAAGGCCCTTCACTATTCCGTGATAACCGTCAAGGGAATGTTTCACATAATATCAGCTATCAAACGGAGCATCTATCGCTTGCATTGATCCCGTGTGCCACGCCACGCTCGAGGCACCCACACTGCCGACTGGGGATGTACTCCCTTCACACAAACCAAAAGATAAGCCTTATCTTTTATTTAGTGCATTGTAGATTCTTGATTATTTGTAGATCTTTGTGGATAGTTTAGATGGATGTTTGTTAAAAGATATCTCCGGAACATCCCTACGAATCTTAATGAAATTTGGCACAGATGTAAAACATAGTAAGAAAAACAAAAAATACTTATAAAGTTTTTTATTTAATAAAAATAAAATTTCGATATGTTATTTTTTTTGTCAACGATTATCAATTGACAATTGTTTAATACCTAAATGGTTTTTAAAATAAAACGGACAATTTTTAATAATCTCTATTTCTAATCTTCGAATGTAACAGAATATAAATTTATATCCTAGATGACAAATATTCAAACCAATATTGCTGTAAATATTGCAACGTCTAAAGCATTCAGACAAAAAGATGAGTTTTGTTGAGTTAATGCATTTTGCAAACGACTAAACAGTCTGTTGCTTTTTGCTTTAATGGTAGCGAAACTCTTTGACCTGCTAGCGAAACTATCTAAACATCTCTTCATGCATTCAAAGAGCCACAATTAACTGATTAATGTGGATATAAAATGTATAGAATTTACTGACTGCAGCGAGGTTTTATGTTACTACATTCATCTCGCAATGAATTATTTTAATTTTCAATCCAAACTAAAAATTCACATTGTTACATATAAAAACCAAAACTTTTGTGTTCACTTCATTGTTGTA